CGTTTTCAGATAAAATAAACACACACAAAACAAAAACAAACAACAAGAACACAAAGCTGGCAAACCCAACTAAAATTGACCAAAATCTACTCAAAATACTCCCACACAACAGAACCTCCTCTCTTCCTCGCTGGCTCCATATCAGTGGTTGATGATCAGTGATCAGTAGTTTGCTATCTGTCACCATCAAAACACTCCACAAATCCTGCGAATGATTCACTTCCTTATAAACCGAAGCAGTTAGGTTCTAAATGAAGCTTCGGACGTCACTGATCACGTGACTCTGGCCAAACGAATCAAGCTTCGACTCGGTGCTTCTGAAGCAGTGTGTTGATTTTTTTGACGCACGCACCGGAGCGTCAGCTTCAAACGAGCCACCATTTTGTTTTCTTAAGTGTAAATAAGTGAACGTTATCAGGCCATTTTTAAGCAGACTCTTTTGTTTGAGAGGATTTAATTTTTTATTTTTTATTTTTTGTCATTTCGGTCTACACTCCACACCAGTTGGTGGCGATAATGCACCATTTTGCTGTTTGCCAAGAAGAAGAAAAAAATCGGCGGGAGTTTTGTAATAACTTGAAAGGATTACAAACGTTTGCGTTTTGTCCTGAGTAGTATCGATAGAGTAATTGCGACTTTTTAAATGTATTTATTAAATTATTTGAGTCGAAGAAGGAAATGCCTGATTGGGTTGAAAATGGGAGCTTCAGCAGCAGGTACGGAAATAAGAGAGCAGCATCTCTAACCAATTTACTTGTTAATGTTACACTTTTAAATTGTTTTGAAGGAAGGGTCTAACTGTTGTTTGTTTACACGGATTACCTGTAAAGCTGATTATTTGAAACTTCGGTCTTGATTAATTCTAACATTAAGATCTGAAGTGAGAGACAGAAAACATGGAATTGTAAAGCAGATGGGTGTACTATGCAGAGGTGGGTAGTAACGAGCTATATTTACTCCATTACATTTACTTGAGTAAGTTTTTGAAAAAAATGTACTTTTTAAGTACCT